CATGCCAATTCTCAGAAAATATTTTCTAATTTTATTATATTACCACCTTTTCATTACATAGATCTTTTTAAAAACATAGGCCAAACTGCTTTTATAACATTACTATAGACCCATTAAACAGCGGCTGCTAAAATACAAACATAATTATTAAGATATTTGGTCTTGTATAAAATGTAACGATGTCCGAACCATCAATAGATAATGATTACTGTAAACTTGGCCTATAATAGGCTATTTTTAAGAGGGCGTAAATGTTGCCACAACATTTAGCTCTGTGGTTACACGTCACCAGTGTTTGATTGAAGTACAACTATGATATTAAGCAGACAACCAGAATGTAAACATTAATAAGATATTGTGTGGTTAAGCTTAACCCTCACATATGCATTTCACTTAAGAAGTTATATGTCCATTTCATTTACACTTCAGCTTGGTTCTTCCGTAGAGCTACAATCAATGATTGTGCCATAGAGTGATGTCCAGAACCAATCACATGGCCTTAGCCAGGATTGTCACGTGGATGGGTGGAGCCTCAGAAGGGGTGCATGTGCAAAATGGATCTGCAATTTGCTAACATCTGGAGGATGAGTTCTAATTAGAACTAATTCGTCCATGGTTAAATCAATCAGTTTAATTCATTTGCAATACATTACAGTGCACCGTACAATTTCTAACAATGCAAATACGGAAGTCCCAGTAAGCTAGCCTGTATTGGGTACCATGGTATCTTAAATACAACTCACTTTATTAAATATTTAAAATTATTTATTTTTTTATTCTTTTAATTCTTTTCAAGCTCAAAAACACATTACAGAAAAAAAAGGAGTTAAAGTAAGGGTTAGAACAATACATAAATTACATTTCTTTTTAACATTCTCTAAATTAATAATACATTTTGTCTAGGCTAAATTAGCATAAAAAATAGAAATTTCTCTAAAACTCAAGAGAAATGCATGTTTTCAAATTCGCACTTCAATGATAGAACTATAAATAATATAATTGTATTATAAAAAAGAGAACAAAAAGAGCAAATCTGTTTTGCACTGAAATAAGAGGAAAAAACATTTAAAATTTTAAAAAGCTTTTACATTTTTTCTACAATCAGAACAAAGGGATACCAAATAAAAAAAATCAATTTTGTGCAAAAGTGCAAATATTTGAAATTAATTAATTCATTCTACGTAGCACTACATTTGCAATTCGATAGAGGCAGTGGCGTAACGCCTATTCGCTCTTGTACGGCAGTCCGCAGTACAAACCGCAGGCCCCAAGCCCTAACCACATGGCCTTCGATCTAGCACCCTGAACCAATATGGCTTTGTTGATACAGCATAATGTGAGTCTCCTCTGGCATCGACTGTATATCATATTAAGTCCAGTGGCGAGTTTAAAGGGGCCCATAAATGTTTAAAGTTTTAAGTCTGCGAGAGCCATTTCCGGCCAACTAGAGGTAACGTAATCCTAAATTTTCTTTTCTTTCTTGGTATTGACCCTCCATCTGTGAATGTCCCTCCCTGGCCCCCCTCTATTTCAAATTCCTGGATCCACCAATGTCTTTCAAATTTTTGTTTGAAAATTCTATTCATATTATATTTACATTCTGTACTGAAAATTTATGTAATCGTGATGTTGTTAATAGTTGCTGCAGGAATGATTTTCTATTGTTACTAGTATAAAAGGGTAATTTAAACTTGTTCAACAAAGTTAAACCATACATAATTATGACATTAAAATGTGGTTAGAACCTGTCACTCTTAATATGCACAGATGCTTTCCTATTTAAAATATTTACAATTTGTAACAAAACGACGAACACTTTATATACATTGATGCATAGTCTACCTATATGTTAATACAGTATTTGTATACGTCTGCTGCTATTTTTTCTCGTTGTCAGGTGGTCATATACAGTATTATATTCTCTATTTATGAATGGGCCCTTAATTCAGTGTTTTGCACTGACTGCAATGCCCGTAGCTACGCCGCTGACTAAATGCCAGTATACTGGTATTGGTCTCGAATAAAAATATTTCAACAAATTACATCAATGTAATTATATACCGAATATATATACATATACATATACATATACTTATATATACATATATACATATATATATATATATATATATATATATACTTATATACATGCCAGTATACTGGTATTGCATAAAAGTATTTCAACAAATTACATCAATGTAATTATATACCGAATATATATACACATATACACATACTTATATATACATATACATATATATATATACACACGTTATACATACATATACACATACATATAATATATATATATATACATACTGTATAAGTTAGCAGAAGGTCCCGAGTTCGAATCCAGGTTGAGTCAAAAGAGGTGTTATACTCTAACACCTTCCGGTATGACAATGGTATAATAGTGTATTGACAAGACAAATAAATTGTTCACATTGTCTGGGACAAATAATTAAACTTTAATATATAAAACGATCTCACTTCATAAATAAATTATCATAAATTTGTGTTATATGACTTGCATCGATAACATTCCGAAACTATAAATATTAAATCACTGTAATAAAACACCATCAAAAAAATAAACATATAAACACTTCAAACAGTTAGAAGCGTCGTTCTATCCTTTTTGATGAAGATACAAAATAGTTGAAATCTCTTACGAAACTATCACTACATAATTATTTCTTTATAAAAAAAAATCATTCAAATCTAGTCATCTAGTGACGTTCCAATGACATCACTGATTTCAGCAGCATTCTTCATACATAACACTGGAATTTTATCCTTACTCTAAACTACAGTATGTAGGTAACCAATAATATAATAGGGAGCTTCGATTGCACAAACAAAATGACGTCACTAAAAAGTCATCTGCGCATGCAAGAACGGTAATTTCTCCTCGTCGCGTCGATTCTATTACGCAATTTGACCAAATTGCAGAGAACGTGTATATCCGTTCTATCGTCGCGCAAATCGGAAGCTCCCTGCTACTACGATAGCACCTCTTCATAGCAAAGAACTTAAATAGCAGAATGAGCTGCTCCGCGTATTTGCATTAAAATCGATGGAACATCCGCCCTCCTGTGGTTGCAGTAAAATTTGAACATTTTACTAAGTGGAGAAACTAAAGGAAACAGGCGAACAAGAGCAGCGCCTTTATTATTTTCATATAGCGCCGCCGCGCGGTTGCAGTAAAATTGCTCTCAGTGTACCCACAATACCTTTTGAACGTATGTTCCACTATATTGGGAAGCTGCTCTATCTTCTGCTATTTATTATCTTTCTTCATAGTGACCATCAGCCAATGGCTTTGGTGGTGCGTTTGTTACACTTTTTAATGTTTTCTTTGCTGAGATTTGCGCTGGAATTTTTGTTTTTGTTCATAACTTGGATTAAACATCAAACTTGTAATAAACACATCCAAGCAGTAAACATGTAGAGTTGCACCACCATGTAGAAACCGACCCATCAGCATTTCGATTTTTCATAAGTATATTCAAATAAAATAACTCCACAACGGCTTACAACGTGAAGTTTTGTGTAAGGGTCAGTCTCGTGCCGTCGCCACTCCAGTTTTACCATAATTACACACACGCTTACGGAATAGGGTTCTATAACTCTGAATGAATAATAGGCCAACTGAAGCCTTACCACCGATTATTATTAGGCCTACAGTAACATAGGTCATACTGTAATTACAACAATAACAATTACAAAATGAAAAACATACCATAACTTCCTACCTACTAATCTGGCATTCCTTTGGTGTTAGCTTTCAATATAAAGAAAATATAATATAAACAAAACAAATTCACCACTACCATCGTAAACAAAACATTCGCGCTAGAAAGAATGCACCCGGCTGACTTGAGCAAGACGTAAAGGAAATTACGAATATCCACATGCTTACTATAAGTCGTCTGCTAAATGAGTCAGAAACACCATTCGCAAATCATGTTACATTATCATTGACAATTCCTTCCATTTGGGAATCGGAATCCGAAAGGAATTTTTAAAGAACAAAAGAGCCATTTGATAGAAAATTTAATGCTAAGCCATGTCCAGACTATCAGATTTGATTTGACAAAACCCCCAGCCCCCCCCCCCCCATATATAACCCCAGCCCCCCCCCCCATATATAGTCATGATATGCCTACATATGGTCATGTGATATCAGCACGCCAAATTTAAGGCATGTCACAGGGTTTTTTTCAAGTATTTTTTTCAGTCTGGACAGGTCTTTAGAATAAATGGACATTTCCGGAGTGTCAAACAAACTTAAAATCTGACCAATCAGAACAGTAGGCTACCAGGAATATGCGGGCTTCCAACAAACACACGTGTTGTCCCAACAACAGTGTTTATACACAGTCGTTTGGTGGAACTTACCAACAATATAAAGGGGCGGGGCTCTTAGCGGAAAGGTCCATTCACAACAATTTCCACCGCTTAGCGCTACTATTCCGAGTGCTATTTTCATTCATATTTAACTTTAAATCGCATACAGATATAGGAACTATCCTTAGATTCAACGCAAACACAATTTATGTAACTTATTAGTAGTATTCAAAATTAACTTTCTCCAGAATAAAACATTAGTGGAATAACTGGACGGATTGTATGTAATATTTATATACCAAAAGTTTCCAAAAAATAATAAAAACGTAAGCAATACAATGTAATATAAACAATTATATTTCTGGAAATCTATAAAATGCTATTTTTGAATTCAACATTACGTCCATTACACATCTCAACTTAATTCAAATTGAAGAATTTTAGTACAAAATAACGTCATAGATTCAACATAAAAAGATTCCCTTATATTGTTAGATAAGACGTAATGACTACAAAACTATTTTGAAATACTTTGAAAGTGATGCATACACTATCTCCCGTGAGGCACTTACATACATTCACCGTGTCGAAAGAATTAAAATAATTAGATATATCTATGTGAATCAGTTCAGTTAAACTATTATTCCAAATCCTTTTAATTATGTATTTTTAAATATAAATTTGGAAGATTTATTTCAATAGTTTTTTTTTTTGGCATTTTTTCAACTTAAAACCCATTTCTCATTATCTTTCCACATGGTACAGTTTTATCGGTAACATCACTTCTTTGGCTTGAAACACAGGTCTAAATCGGTGTTAATATCCGTCTTGCCGTTTGTACAAAAACAGAATTAAAGCTGGAAATTAACCAATGCACTGTAGTTCAATTTACACTAAGCTGGCTTTGCAGGAAAATGATAATTGGAAAAACCGTAGCCTTCAAGAATCGACTCCAACAAATCTCAAAATTCTGAAACCATATCACATGATTATAATCATAAAAGATTTAGTTTCACACAACTCTACTACAGAGGCAATCGTGACTCCTCTTTGATTTCATTTTATCCATCATTCGTTTTTTTGGACCACTTCTCACTGAGCTTCATCTTCGTATTGTTTTCTGAAACAGTCACCAACTGGAAAGAAATCCCAGCACCGTTCCTGGTACAGCTGCCACACATATGACTCCTAAGAAAGCAGAGGTGCAAAGGATATTGAAGTACTCATTCAAAAAGATCAAATAATTTATAAATTTCCAAAGTCAAGCATTAATTTCTATAGGATTGATATAAAGGTTTTCATCATAAAATGGTACAAATAGAAACCAACCTGGCCTGTGTGCTCAGTCTCATCTTTGTTAATCAAGTACATTAGGAAAAACCTAAAAAAAACATAGAAAAACTAAACTTGTCTTTTATGTATATTTATTTAATCATAAATTGTACAGTCAATCAATCTTCTAATCTCATTTCTTTTTTAGTTCTTACTCCAAAATTGTATAACATTGTATAGTATAACAATATAAGCTGCCACTGGTTTAATTGATTTATTTATTATTTTTATTAACAATATTATTACTTTCTGTTGCTTTTTTATTTTGTTCACATTGGAAGCTATTTATTGGTGGAAAGGTTTATATTTATACAAATATATGTCTTTCTACACCAAAATCAGTGATGTATATAGAATTCTTGAAATGGGGGGGGGCCGCTGATGGAAGGGGAATGCAAAGGTGAAGGGCTCGATGACAAGGTGAAGGGCTCGATGACAAGGTGAAGGGGTCGTTTTCAACTACTTGTCAGTGTGATTTTTTTGGGGGTGTGCTCCCTCTTTGCCCCATTCCAGTGATTCCAGATCAGTCAAATAAAAAAAAATAGTAATTCTGGAACATGAGAAAATGTTATAAAATAACAATAAAATAATTTGAAAAGAAAACTATTAGAAACTTTTACACACTATATAATTCAACTTATGCTGATTTTTACATTGACCTCTGCAACGCTCTGTAAGCAGGCACCATTTAATTTAGAAGTCTCCAAAAGCGGTTAAAGTTACACCATTTATTACCCTAAAACATTCCCGAGGCTGAGCCCCCTGGATAGCAAACATTTCTCCCCCTCTGGTCCTCACCAGAGCACCAATCCTACATAACTCTCTTTGATATTCATCTTGCTACTTGTGTTGACCTTGTGTTTATGGAGTAGGGTGTAGGCCTGTTTTATATGGTATGCTTTTTTTTGTACACACTATAGTACAGTAAAAACCATCACAGGGTTTTTTTTTGTAGGCGTTAAAACTCACAAAATTTGTTAACAAAGTTATGATAAAATACTACTACACTGTAGGGGGGGGGGGGGGGGGGGGGGGGGGGGGGGGAGGAGGTTGGGGGGGGGAGGAGGTTTTAACTGAACCCCCAAGCAATTTAGTGCAGCTGTAGTTTGTGTTTTCCTCCCAATCTCTGGGTCATAGGTATAATTCCTGTGACCGCCGGATTTTTTTCTCACCATTAAAGCACTCATCATAAGCCTTTGGGAATTAAACTTATGTAGAGCATCTTGTGTATTGTTTATTTTATATTGTCATCTTTCTATCCTATAATTGGTGATTAAACTTGCTGGTGGATGTGTAAGCACTAAAGTTCTCAAAATAATGTTCGTTTTGACTAAGACTTTGCCAGTCTCTGATTTCATCTTTATTAACTCCCATGTTCTGTCATCACCATATAATTAACCCAGTGAAAACACTCATAAAGTGTAATTGTGGGGAGGTAAGGTTTGAAAAACCACCTTAAAATAAATGTAAAAGTAATCTAAAACCTACAATAAAAACAATTTTGCGGAAATAGCACCATTTAAAGCCCTAGTATTCAAACCATAGGTTGTGACCCAAATTAGGGTTGCCAAGATATTTTGCAGCTCAATTTAAATTAAGTTTTTAATAACCACGAAGCATTCATGTTCTTGATTGTGAATGGTTGGTCAGTGCCATCATTTAGTATGATCAAGTATATTAGACTTCGCTCCGGCCTTTAGTACTGTATGCTTAACATCGCGATTAGTTTTGATAAAATAAAACAATTACTTTTATTAGACGGTTGTGTTCTATTAATAAATAAATATTTTGCTCTTGCAACAACTTGCAATTGAGCACTCTTTGCCGCTTCAAAGCACATTTAATCAATTTATATATATATATTTATATTTATATATATATTTAATCAATTTATATATATATATATATATATTAGTACTATATATATAGCATATATGAATAGTATCCGATGTAGTTGGTTCCACGTATGTCTCACGGAAATATATAAATATAAGCAAATACGAAAATAAAACAATTGCATACGTTGACATAATAGAGACATAAAATTTATTCAAAACAAATATTTTGAACACGCATGTGTCCTTCCTCAGCGTTACACGTACCCGTGTAAGTATTCATACGCAATCTCTGGTTGGTTTGTCGATGTGTTGCACATAACCGGGAAATCTATAACAACATTTATTAAAATCGCCTAAAATGAGTTTAATTGAATCAGGAGACTTAGTTTTCAGATCCCTTAGTCTGTGCCCTATTTCTTTCTTTGCATTTGCCTCATTTGCATTTGGGTGTATGTATACAACAAGAGTAAATAATTAAGTGAATTCCTGCGGCAAATAAGATGGCCGAAGTCTAACAACAATCAGCTCAATTTCCAGTGAACAATACTCTTTGACGGATGCATTATTGCACCATTTTTTGTTAAAATAAAGACATACACCACCTCCTCTATTCTTAAAAGATTCTTTGGTTCCGTCTCCTCTAATTAATTCATAATTTGGTATATGTAATGCACTATCTGGAACTGCCTCACTTAACCAGGTTTCACTAAAACACATCAAATTCTCCTGTTGGTATCTCACATTGCTGCAAATTCCATCTATCTTTTTTGGTAGCGATCTAAAATTTGCCAAAATAATAAAAGGGAGTGGGCTCTTATTACCGCTGCTCCTCGTTTCTGCAAGAGCTCCTCCTCTTTTACCCCATTTCTTTTTTTTTTTTATGTCCACCGGAAATGTACCGATATCTGATGACTTTCCATGTATTACATTCCTTAGCCGCAGCAGTTCGTCTCGCCCATATTCAATCATGCTTGAACTAACAGGTTGACCACCAAAAACACAGTTGAAAACCAACAAAATGAGTAAATTAACACCAATTTTTGCCCACTTATGGTAGACATAAATACTTTAAGTAGCACCATAAAGTATAAAAAAAAAACACCAATATTAAGACATAAGTTCGTAAAATAGTTAAAATTCAGGAACGTTGCGATGAGTGTCCCACTGTGCAGCCCCGGTTGATATCCAAGCCAGTGGCACATTTAGGAGGGTGGGGCGCACGCCTAAAAAAAGCTTTCATCTCTCATTTTCCCCCATTGAAAATCTCCAAAAAAATTATGCTCAAGAAGTTAAAAATCACCTCATATCACCTTATTTTGCGACCTAGCTCCGCCTCTCCCCACTCACTTAATCATTAAGGCACCCCACCCACATGAGGGAAAATTAGTTCCACTAAGCGGGTTACAATACTAAATATGACCATTAGGTTTTCATTGCAATAGGGATTAAGTTGCGCACCTACAGGCCGTTTTGCAACACCTCACACCAAAACCAACATACTCTCCTGTGCATATTTAAATTATACATTATTCAAATTGTAATATATAACTTACATGTAGTTGGAGAAATCATGTTCCTTCAGTGTGTGCTCATCGAACCCATGCGGTACTTTATCAAAATACTCTTTACCTATACCACAGATGAAGCATTTTGTCTGAAAATTGAACAAGAAATATGTAATGTTTTCAAAAAGAACAGATTCCGTCACAGGCCACCACATAAAAAATTCATGACCAACATTTGAGGATTGTTAAAATGATTAAAAAGTATATTTTTAATTACGTATCTTTATTTCAGCAATCATTGTTATTGTCGAGTAGTGGCTCAGGCTTTAATTAACAAGGTGTTGAAAGAAGTTGTCACAACATGCCAAGATGGTTTAGAGTTTATCTCTATTATATCATGATCATGATTTATACAAACATATATATATATACATATATATCTGTCTCTTATACACATCTAGATGTGTATAAGAGACAGGCATAGCTCTCAACGAATGTAGTCCTGCAAATAAA